CGATTTATAAATCTGTTCTACTTTAACATATCGTCGGGTTGCTGACAAAACCAGATAAGTTACATTTTTATCCTTCTGAAATATAATAATAAAATAAACAGGTAGGCTTATACCTGGGTTAAGTACATTTCTTGTCTACTGTAATGGGTAGATGGAGGCGATGCTGCCAGAAATGGATGTGTGCGATCAGTAAACAAACCACAAGACTGAACCGCGGTGTCCAATTATTTTTGTATCGCCTTTTTTATCGCGTTACTAGAAAACTCTGTTTGGTATATGATGGAGTTTACTAGAACTTTGCAGCTTGTTGTCTGCCTTCTTCTACAGACTTCACCAAATCGAGACGCTGTCAACCTTAACCTCCGATGAAGGCGCGACAAAGTACAGTCCTGTGATTTGGTGACTTCGATCTGCAAAACCTCGTCGTCACTTTTTTTAAGTTTCCCTAAAAATTTTCGCTTAGCAACCTCCAAATCAATGTAGTTAATGTCAAGTTTTTGATTGAATTCGCCATAAGACTATTCATTTTCTTTGGAATTGCCATCCGAATTGCTAGTTATTTTTATATCAGCTTTTCTTGGTCTGTTTCTTTTCAAGATTCTTGCGTTTGAGTCTTTGTTCCATCTTAGCGATAAACGAGGTTGGACTAGGCTTAGAACGCAAATGTATTTAGACCACATATACAGGTATTGTGGCTCACTACAGCTGCAGCACATCTTCCATGGTATGACCTATTCTTGCAATAATTTATTCGCTTACCCCAATGTATTTTGCGATTATAGAGTTGAACTGCTCCACAGTATTGATGACCCCATCATGAATTAAACTCACTGCACTCGTAATTAAAATGGTCGCATATGACCCTTTATTGTCCATTATCAGTCTTGATAAAAAAAGGCACTCAAGAAAAATCACACCAACAACAATTCAACAACACAATATCGACGAACAGTAACAAGTGGAGAAAAATACTAAATGATCACTTGCTGAGTACCAAAATAAGAAACGATTTACATTCTAGATCGCTAATCGAAATCCGACTCTGTTACGATAAAAATTTACCTTGGTATGCACTCGCAGTCATCCTTTCCTCTTTTAAAGTAGCGCCGACTACCGTCTAGGCCCAGCCCACCCTCGTTTCCTTTTCACCCCCCGTTACCTCAGGTGCTCATGACTGTAGGAGACCCGTTAAAAGAATTTTTTTCAAAATGGCTCTCTGTTAGGCTCAAAAAACAGACTTTCTAAACAGTATTATTTGTGTCATAAAAAAAGTAATAACGCGTTAAGACTGTACCTAACCGGCGATCTAAATGAGTTTGTTTCCCATCACAATCATATAGACATGTTTTGCAACGTTATTTTTTATCTTTTAAGCAGGATGATTCAAAAAGACGTTACGTTAGATATACTACAACTATTTAAAACTGTAATGACTCATACGCGTGATCAACACGTGATCAGAGCTCGATCCCGGCTTCCTTCCAATACAGCCGTATAGCGTACGATATATGTCGTTTCTGTGGCTTTGTTCTCCGCCGGTAGAACCAATGAAATCAAAGACGCGCCTCGACCGGCAGACTCATAGGCGTCGGCAACGCATTGGAACGTGTTTCGTTGAGCGATCGCATATTGTGTGTTTTTATAAGAATTGTTGTGTGATTGTTATTATTGTGGTTTCTGTGGTTACTGTTTTGGTTATACTTAACCGTGGAGAGTACAAATGGCACGAGTGGAAGTACTGAAAGCCAGGGAACAAGTAGACGGCTTCGTAAAGCACTGAAGAGGGACGCGAAAGAAATCGTGCTCAACGTGGTCAATTATCTGAACAGAACTATGTCGCAGGGAGATGCACTCGCGCGTTGTCAAAGTATGACAGGCGTTCCAGAGTGGACCATTCGCAGGGTGGTGCATGAAAAGAAGAAAACTGGAGCTACTACTGATCCAAAGTTTAATTTGAAGTGACGAAAGGCCGTTGGATGACGATAGCAAAATGGCATTAAGGCGAACCGTACATTCATTCTTCTTTAGGAATGAGATACCAACCCTCAAGGCTGTACATGCAGCGATCAAGGAAAATGAAATTATACCCCAAATGAGCGTCGAGGTAATGAGGAAATCCCTGCACGAAATTAATTTTCGTTACGAAACGCGTAATCGGAAGTGAGTATTGATAGAGAGACCTGAAATAGTAGCCTGGCGTCGAAAATACCTAGGCGAAATGATTGAATATAGGCGACAAAGCAGAAAAATCTATTATTTGGACGAGACATGGGTAAATGCAGGTCACACAGTTAAAAAAACCTGGATAGACAAAAACGTAGTGAGTAACCGACAAGCAAGCATTGAAGGTTTGTCAACAGGTCTTCGTGGACCGTCAGGGAAAGGTCAAAGATTGATCGTAACTCATATTGGTAACGATAGTGGCTTTTTAGAAGAGTGTGACTTGATTTTCGTCTCTAAGAAAGGAGGTGATTACCATGACGAAATGAATGCCAGCTGCTTCGAGAGCTGGTTTCAAGGGGTGCTTCAGCGAGTTGAGCCCAACTCTGTGATCGTCATGGATAATGCTTCCTACCATAGTCGTCGAGCCGAACGTGTACCGACTATGAGATCTCGAAAAAGTGACATGCAGCAATGGTTGCGCGAAAAAGGAATCCCGTTTGACGATTCATGTGTGAAAGCGGAATTGTATGAAAAAATTAAACAGCACAAACCTGCGAACATTAGTTACGTGACTGATGAGATGGCCCGTCAATGTTACCGCCCTACCACTGCGAACTGAACCCAATAGAGCTCATCTGGGTTCAAGTGAAGGGTTATATTGCGCGCCATAACACAACCTTCAAATTACCAGACGTTAAGGTTTTACTTGAGACTTCCATACAGCTTGGCAGAATGCTATCCGTCATGTTGTGAAGGAAGAAACAAAAATGTGGCAGCTTGACGACCACATCGACACCATCATAGAGCCAGTTATAGTCAATTTCAACGAGGAAAGCGATAGCGACAGCTTATTACTGTCAGATGTAAGTGGAAGCGACGATGAATAAAGGTAATTCCCAAATTTATGACTTACAATATGTTTCAAACCACTCTTTATTAAGCATGTGACAAATCTAGTTCACCCATGTTAAACATTCATACCCCGCCTATGAACAGCCGACTACTGGTAGTTAAGTGATGTTCACGTGAACATCGATGAGTCATTACAGTTTTAGATAGTTATAGTATAGTACATCCAATAATAATGAAAAGGTTCTCATAAATATGGGCTCGTGATTGTAGGAGCCCCGTGAACGGTCTGATGTTGCATTTATTTCCTATTAGCATGAAGATGTCTGGTTTTGCTAGAACACAGATTATAAGATTTTAGACAGAGAACTGTACGTAACCCAAAAATGACAAAAATGTACTTATCTTATTTTGGCAGTAACCCGACGATATACTCGACCAAGTAGCTTATAAAAAATTTAACAGAATCCTGTCAAAACAGATTAACGATCGAAAACATTCATATCGCTCATCTGTGAAGCCCAAACGCGAAATTCACTGCCCGTCGGATGACTTTCATTTACCTACATACCGCTGCCTCATACAGACTTGATGGATGGCATTTGTGGATCATAAATGGCTAGAGGGCATGTAACAAACGATATAAGATACATACATATCGCATGTGTGATATGATTAAGTCTCTCACGATTGTATTTGAGTATAACTGAAAAGAAAAACTTCAAGAAATCGTATACTTAGTATAGGCGCATCTCAAAATAAAATTTTGTATCTGTTATGTAAAATATACGTAACAGTAAATAAACAGGTGTCTGACCAATAAGTGCCCGCATTGAAAAAATAATAAGAGGGATAAAATAAAAAAAGTGAAAAATAAAAAAAAAGTTTTTTACCTAAAATATTTTTTTTTTTTTTTTTTTATACTTCAACTACCACGAAGGCCTAAGGCCTAAACACCCATTGGGTACCGTGGGGCTATAGGGGGATACAGGAGAAAGGGGGGACGCCACACGGACTCTGGCGAGGGAACACGTGTGCATGCAACATGCACTCATTCTGGCTCCGCCTACGAGACCCGCCGGGTGGTACCTCCACGTTCGACAGTCAGAGACCATCTACCACCTACGGACAATCACAACATCCATAGCCAAGAGAAAAATTTCTCCTGGGACGGGACTCGAACCCGCACAGCGGACGGCGACTGATCAGGAGACCGAACAGTCTACTACTGCGGCCACCGCTGCTGCCTGAAGGAGTTTGAAATGATATATTCCCATAACTGTTAATAAATGATTCTCAATAAATGTAATGCGACATAACTCAATAGTTCCTAGGTCGAAAATTAAACGCACAATTCTTTTTTGAAGGATAAAAATTCGAGACCATCCAGAAGCTTGTTGCCATGAGATGATGAATGAACTTCTTATTTTGATAACAGATAGCAAAGCATTGTCCCGCTACTGTGTTAACACGGAATAACGAAGATCATAACGAAGCAGCCAAATAAAGAGCACTCTTGTTACCTTGTAACCTTGAACCTGAACATTACTGTTGACCAGTCAGCCAACCTTTTATACCAAATTACCATGAGTCATCAATAATCAACCGCCACGAGGGATATAGAATAGTTTGACCCACTCACCCTTGCTCTTAGGCGTACAATAAGCGAGATCGTTTATTAATTATAACATAAACGTATGTTCTACAATAATTTCACTGTCAGATTGATTAAATTCCGCTTCTTATACGTTTAAGTTATCTAAAAATAGGCAAAAAATTAACGAATTTTATTGTGTACCTATCCTTGAATTTTCAGAATAGTCTTCAAAAAAAAAATATTTTCTATATAGGGGGGTTCTTTAAAAAAATCAATGCGGGCATTTATTCCCAATGCGGGTATTCATTGGTCAGACACCAATAAACCTAAAATAAACTATAAATAAAATAACATAAGAAATAAGTCAATATTTTTAGTGAGAAGGATGAACCTGATGCTTTAATAATAAATTATCAACATTTGGCGACAATTTTGTAAGGGTTAATCTTAAATCTCCTCGGCTAATGATGTCCAGTCTGTTTCTTTTTTTCGTTAGGAGATTGGTAACAGCGCTGAACCCCCTTTCCACTAGGTATGACGATGGAAAGGAAATTAAAAATGTCCTCGCTATATTCCATAATACGGGATAAGTAACGGGTATGTTGTTTTGCAGCCAGAATTGCTGATATCCGTTTTTAAACTGAACCTTAAGTTCTTCGTTTGTACTTAGTTCAGTCAGTTCCTCTTGTATTATGACATTCGTTTCTTCTATGTCACCATATGGTTTAATTATCCACGGTGGTATTACCATAGACGTAAGTTGAAACGTCGTTCTCCTGGCAGCTTGTCTGTGACAAATTGGGGAACTGAGAAAATTCGCTCCGTCCAATATTTTGCTTCATTAGTTTAACTCTGGCAAGATGGATTTTGTTTTAATCAAATTTAAACTGTCCCCTTGTAATTGCAAATTAACCATATTAAATTTTGTAAACAAATCTGTCAAATAGGCGATGTCTGTTTTCCTCTTCATTAAATTTTCTTTTAAAATTGTATCTTTAGTATCCAGAAATTCTAAAATAGTCTCAAAAAGTGCAAAAATTTCTTGTCAAACATAATCCTTTCGACAGCCAGCGTACTTCAGTGTGAAGGAGTAATTGATGAAACTGTTCGTCATTTTCTTCACACAACTGCGCAAATAACCGCGTATTCAACGCGTTGCTTCGGATTCGGTTTACTGCATCAATGACTAAATGAAGTGATTCATGCAATCTAACACTCAAATTTTTAGCAACTAAATGTTGTCGATGGATGACGCAATGTATTGCTAACACCCCTGACACATTTTGTTTTAAATAGCTTATAAATCCACGATAACGTCCAACCATGGCAGGTGCTCCATCTGTAGCTACTGATATTATATTTGATAAAGGAATTGCTTTATCAATGAAGTAATCCTTCAAAACATGAAATATTGATTCACCTTTAGTGTCGGTTATCAAAGTTCTTGCGAAGAGCAGTTCTTCGTAGATTTCTTGATTCAGAATAAAACGAACATATGCCAATAATAATGCTGCATTATCAGATAAAGTTGACTCGTCCAGTTGTATAGAGAAATGGGTCGTTTGCAAATAAGAAGCTTTCAGTATCAGAACTCATTTCATCAATACGTCTTTCAACAGTATCGTTGCTTAAGGGAATTCTTTTAATGATATCAGATGCAGGTTTGTGTAAAACAGTTTTTAAAACCTCTTCAACGGCTGGCAAAATTAACTTCTCTCCGATAGTATGCGGTTTTCCGGATTTTGCTATAAGTAACGAGATATTATAAGACGCCCGCAAACCATCATCGTTTCTTTGTGACGTCGAAGCGGACATTCTGTCCAGGGTAGGTCCGTTCTGAAATTTATCTTTGAGTGTTTGAAAGTATTTCAAATCTTTCTCTGTTTTATCAGGGTGGCATCTTCTCAGATGATCTTGCAGTTTAGATGGTTTCATAGCGTCATTGCCTAAAACATTGTTGCATAAAAGGCACATAGGCGATTGTTTGTCCGGCAATGATGGAATGAAGCCAAATTTCAAATAATCAACACTGTATTGTCTACATTTCTTTTTATATTCGGACATGGCATCAGTCATCTGTGGGCAAAAGTAAATTATTTAAATAAGACAGAAAATCCAGCAGCTGTATATTAAAAATATTTTTTGATTTTTCCGAAAACATTCCATAATTTGAACATCTTCTTGCAACAATTAGCTCGAATTACGGAGATTGCACTGTAATTATAGTACCGATTGCTAAAACTTTCAAAAAGAAACTTCTGAGGAGTACTAGTGTAATTTTGCATGATTGAATATTTAACTACTAATAACTAAAGTCATGATTGGCGTAATTTATCTATCTTTGCTAACTACGAATACAAAACTATAATAAAAAATAATGTACTTACTTTTCTCCAGCACTCTCAAACAAAATAACACTGACTCTCTATAATTTGTGTGATCTACCAGAGGAAGCTTTTCCCAGTTCAAAAATCGTATTAACAAAAATTCTTTGGGATCATCATAGCAGCAGCGGTGCCGCGGCATTTAGGCTTCTGCCTGCGCGGCTGCTTCGGTATAAAAAAAATAAAAATAAAACAAGCCATGTGACGTACTAAAATGAATTTTACGACATGGTTAAGTCAGCTTGATGTACACGTAGACATACCATATAAACATACAACTTTCCTATAAGCAGACTCATGTCTATATGCATGACTGGAGATTTCATGCATATACGCAAAACAATGCGGGCATCCATATTTGACCTTAATATGCGATCTCTTAACTATACTCTTGTTAAAATTATAATTTATTTATGAAATGCATGAACATATGATGGACGTCGACAGGTCAGACATCTAAAAATGAAAGTGGTAGCCAATTATTTTATAGTTAATCTGACTTGGTATTTGAGTGTAGTTGGCGAGCTGTTCATCTGCTTATAATGCATAAAGGTAAAAGTGTTCCAAATATGCATACATTTAGCCATCGGTCCACGGATTATGGACTGTGAGAATAATCAGTTCGACTCGTTTTTATGACTGATACGCTACGGAAAGAATAGAAGCTTACAAGTGCAGGATATTCTGGCTCGCATGATTTAGTTACAAGCAAAAAGCTAGATAATTCTCCATGTTTGCCTTGTCGCTAAAAAATGGAGACAGAAAAATTAATTACGTACAGGAGTCTCTGATAGAATGTTCTTCTGAGAATTACACCTCCTTGCTGTTAAGCTATTATAGTAATGTTAATATAAGCGAGCCTCACGGTAGGATCCGAGCTTGTATAGGCTGGGCCATCAGGTGGTTTTTTTTAAGCTGGTATTATTTTCACAGATGGTAACACTTCCATGCTCAACATATTGACAGATATATCCTGTCAAATTGCCGCTGTGAGCAATGGATCGTTTTAATCTTGAACAAAGGTTGGAAATATTGAAAAACTGTTTTCACAGTGAGTGCTGCGTTGCAGAATCTTCGCGAAAATTGAGAAGACCAATGTGCGACTTCTGCAAGAGTTGAAAAAAAATGACCATCCGTTTCTATATCGTTTCTCAGTGTGAGTTCTAAATCAATTGGAAACGGACGTCAATTTTGATCGCCAAATCACCTTTCGAAGGAAGCCCGGGTTACGATAACAAGCAGAACTGTAGGATTTGGGATTCTGAAAATCCACGTGTCGTCATAGAAAAACCAATGCATCCAAAAAGAGTAACTGTTTCGTGTGGTTTTGGAATGGTGGGATTAATGGTCCCTACTTTTTTCAAGATGATGCTGGTAACAGCGTGACGGTAAACGGAGACATGCTGAGGAGTTTTTTGTGGCCACTATTGGACGACATGCACTAGCACAATCTCTGGTTCCAGCAGGATGGCGCACCAGCCGTGAAACAGTCGATCTTGTACACACTAAGTTCAGTCATCGCGTTATCAGCCGTTTTTCAGACGTTCATTGGCCAGCTGTGATTGGACGCCCATGGATTACTTCCTATGGGTTGTTCAGGACCGCTGTTACACTAACGATCCTCAAACAATTGATGTTCTTAAGGAAAATATCCATCGAGTTATTGATGAAATAGACCCACAAACTATCAAAAATGTGCTTCAAAATTCGATTAAGAGGATGGACTAGCCGCGGCAGCCATTTGGCTGAAATTGTTTTTCATAAATAATCGGAAGATATATTCTTTTGAATAAAGTATCGAGTGTTACATATTATTGAAGAGTGTAGTTTTAATACCAATTTAAAAAAGAAACCGACGGAGGACCCACACTAGTTAGAAAGTTAGAACAAATGAACATAACTTAAACGTCAAAGTAGTATCAAACCAAAAAGAAAATATCGAGCTGAAGCTGCTTCAAATAATAATAAACGTTTTTCTTTTATTTGTTATAACATTACAGGAGGCGAGATTTTGGACCATGTCGTCAGTCGTTCCTTCAATTGCAGGACGCCTTTATGGCCTCCTTGATTTTCAAAGCCTTTTCTCTCCTTCAGAAAGACTGGGATATTTTTAAATTTCTACTGTTCCGTGTCAGCGTGAGCGCTCTCTTATTGTGAGGAAGGCAAATACGTGTCAGAATATACAGGGTGGCGCATCGAAAACGAAACAGACGCATTTACTGGCGGCTCATTTTTTTTTTGGAAAAACGCTCAGACCCAGAGATTTTGTTTTCGAGGGGGACACAAGTTTGGCAAAACATCACGTTAACACGTGCAGCCCCCTGGCCGTTTTTTTTGTGGCAAAAAAGTTATTTCTTGAAGAAAGATAAGGAAATATCTCGTACTTATTTCAAATAGGAATTTAGTACATAGTTTGATATGACCAAACTTTGTTGCTAAAATAACTTGTAACGCTTTATTACATAAATTAACCATGGTATATTCCACAGCAGAAGGAGTTGAAATTATCGAAATGTTGTTCGGAAATAATCAGTGCGCTAATAGAACAGCAAAAATATTTAAGGAGCGACATGAGAACAGTAACGTGCATCGAAAATATGTTCTAGAACTTGCAGCTAAATTTCGGGAAACTGGGTCAGTCGCCAATAAAAAACGCAACATTGAAAATCCCATAAGGAACGAAGCAATAGAAGTGGGGGTTTTAGGGCAAGTTTATGTAGATCCTACGTTAAGTACCCGCAAATTGGAGACAGTGTGGTGTTAGTCGACATACTGTCCAACGGATTCTAAAGTTTTCAACTGTATAAAATTCACCTGGTACAAGAACTTAATGAAGACGATTTTGATCGGCGATTACAATTTTATGAAGATATGAGTGAACGAATTATAAACGATGAACATTTTCTATTGAACCCTTGCTTTTCCGACGAATATTCCTTTTTCTTAAATGGCGTAGTAAATCGTCATAACTGACGATATTGGTCCGATTCTAATCCCAGAATTTATCATGAGGTTCATACACAGCAGCCACAAAAATTCAATGTATGCGCTGGTATTTTTGACGATCATTTAGTTGATCCTTTTTCCTTACCTGGACATTTTACCGGTGAAATGTATTTGGAATTACTGGAAGACGCCGTAGATCCTGCATTAATCGCCATAATTGAAAATCATAATGATCGGCGGTACATTGCGAATAGGTTGATGTTCCAACAGTACGGTGCCACGCATTACGTGTTCGACAACATTTAGATCAGACGCTTCCAGATCGATGGATTGGTAGAAGAGGTGCCATTGAATGGCTCCCAAGATCGCCAGATTTATCACCTTTGGATTTCTTTATGTGGGGTCATTTAAAAAGCAAAAT